TAGAAAACATAGTATTCTTCTCTTGGAATTTAGAAATTCTCTGATAGTCCAGCATATGGGCAATCTTGGGGAATGATCCATGCATACTTGCAAAGAATATGTGTCAGGTTGTTGGTGGTGTAAGATTCCAAAATATCAATTTGATTAAGTTGAATGATGGTGTTCCTTAAGTCTTCTGTATCCTTACTGATATTTTGTGTACCTAATTTATTAATTGATAAGAAAGGGATTTGAGAGTGTGTATGACGATTGTGGATTTTCTTACTTCTCTCTTCTGTCAGTTTTAACTTGCCATATTTGGAAATCCCATTGTCAGGTTCACATCTATTTAGGGATATTCTGTCTTCTTGGAAGCTGAGCTTCTTGTCATCTTAAACTAACCCTTTTATTTATGGTAGCATCTTATTAAGTTCTATGTTGCCTAAACTTTAACATTTTATTGTATACTGCCCCAACCTGTGTGCGTATTTGTGGGAAGTATGTCTCTTGTGCGTCTAATGCAGTTAGGTCTTGTTTTCTTAGTTTCTTTGAGAACTTTGCTTTTTCATTGTGGTACTTGTCATTATTAATACAGTCTCTATGTTTCTATTTCTCTTACGTGGCTCTACAGCCTTCATGTTTTACTTTGTCTTTCCTGATTTATTTATAGTGATTATTTTTATATGTGCTACTGGATTTTACTCTGAATTAATATCATAAAATTGTATATATGTATATATATACCAAGAAGTCTATGTCAGTGTAGTTCCATTTACCCCCCTCTTCTGTGCTTTATTTTTATGCATTTTGCTTTTCATATGGTAAGAAATCTCATCATATGCTGCTGCTTTTGCTTTAGTCAATCAGCTTTTAGATACTGTGATGCAAACAAGAAAAGGTCACTTCTTTTTCTAGTGTTCCTTCTTTCACTACATTTTGGGTAACTTATTTACTTCTATGTTAATTCTCTCTGATTTTATTTATGTTACTGGCCTGTGAGCATGTCTGTGGGACATCTTCTTGATTGCTAATGGATGTGAGAGGGCCTAGCCCACTGTAGAGGGTACCATCCCTAGGCAGGTGGGACTGGGCTACCTAAAAGAGTAGCTTAACACAAGCCTGGAAGCAAGCTACTGCAGTAAGCAGCATTCCTCCATAGTCTCCCCTTCAGTTCTTGCCTTGGCTTCATAAGCCAAATAAACCCGTTCCTCCTCCAAGTAGGTTTTGGTCCATGTTTTATCAGAAAACAAACTAGAACAGTCAGTAACTGTGAAAAGGTCTCAGTCTTTATTCTTCTTAAAAGCTAACTAGTTAACCACCACAGTTTCATAGGTTCTGATTGTAGACAGTACATGACTGTTACAGCCATAGCAGAATTATATTGCTGAATAGGCTCCCTCAGCCCCAATGTCTACAAGGGTGTGCTTGTGGCTTGGATCTTATAATCTCTTTTTAATATTTTATTTATTATTTTTATTTTACACGTATATGTATATTGCCTGCATGGTGTTAAGTGCACCCATGTCCTGAAATGTCTGTGGAGGTCAGAAGTGGGAAATTCCCCTGGAACTAGAGTAACAGACGGTTGTTAGCTACTATGTGGGTGCTGGGAATCAAACTCAGGTCCTCTGCAAGTGCAGCCAGTGCCCTTGAAATGGTGGACTTGAGCTATATTAAAACACTCAGGATTGTTTCCTTCTGGATTATTTTCATCTCCCCTTTCACTTTGAAAGGAGTTTATATACACATGTTTATATGCACATGTTGGGCCTCCCCCATTGGTGGACCCTGCCTTTAAATCAACTACTGCTAGGCTGCAGCTTTCGATGTGTTTGGTTCATCCTCCCATCTCATAGTGCCCACCCAGTGCCTGGCATACACAGATGATACACAAGGACTATTCCCAGAGTGAGCACACGCCCTACCGACCTAGCATCCGGTCCATCTCAAACAAAGCAGCAGGACTTTATGGAGATTTGGAGGTCCACTTTAGGTCCTGACAGTCTTGCTGTGTGATCTTGGTCAGGTTACTTAACCTCTCTGTGTCTGGGATCCTCATTAGCAGAAATGCTTCCTACCTTGAAGGTTGTTGTGAGGATTAGATGTGTTAAGATAAGTGATTTGTGACCTAGAGCCTAGCACTCAGCACTACTTATTAGCTGTGGCTGTGGCTTACAGAGCACATGGCCAGCTGTGTTTCAGGCAGAATCAAACAGATGGCTTTTCCAAGTTTCTAGGGAAGTCTCTAAAATATCACTGGATATACAGAGAACATGGTATCACTCAACTCCAAATTTATTTTTATTTTATGTGTATGAGTGTATCGCCTGCATGTATGTAAGTGCTCCCAGGTCGTGCAATGCCAGAGGAGGTCAGAAGAGGGTGTGGGATCCCCTGGAACTGGAGTTAGGGACTCGAACCCAGGTCCTCTGGAAGAGCAGTCAGTGCTCTCAACTGCTGAGCCATCTCTCCAGTCCCTTAAATAGTGACAGAAATGCAGGCTGGAGGGTGCCATCCAGGAGGACACTGAAAGCAGAGTTTCTTGCCAAATGCCAGTCTTTGTCTGGGGTTAAGTTTGGGAAAAGATGTTCAGGTTTCAAGCCACAACTATTTGCCAGCAGGCCACCTATCCCCAAGCCAGCTAGCGAAAGTTCACTGGAGGTCAGCAGTTGCCAGCTGAAGTTCTGAGCTCTAATAATACATTCTTTTCTGGTGCCCACTAAATAAGCAATAAATAATGGAATTATAGGGACACTCAACTACTGCCCTGATCCAGGCATGCAGGTATCTGGGCTAGCCTCAGTTTCCGGTTTGCGTGCTGGAAAGATAAACCAGAGAGCGCTGAGGAGAACCGCTGGTAGCGCAGGCAGGCGGCGCCCGGCCCATCCCCACGGCTAATACATTCTTTTCTGGTGCCCACTAAATAAGCAATAAATAATGGAATTATAGGGACACTCAACTACTGCCCTGATCCAGGCATGCAGGTATCTGGGCTAGCCTCAGTTTCCGGTTTGCGTGCTGGAAAGATAAACCAGAGAGCGCTGAGGAGAACCGCTGGTAGCGCAGGCAGGCGGCGCCCGGCCCATCCCCACGGCCCAGCCCTGCACCGCGGTCAGACCAGTCCGACCGCTTCGCCCCCAGCCCGG